TTTTAGTATCCAAATCAATTTTTGTCTCCACCAATAATTCCACGTTGCCACTCGTATATGTTCGGTGCACTGTATTACGCATTGCGATATAATAAATTTTAAATTATTTTTCGTCCTGTGACACGTTTAAACATAATCAAGTATTAAAAAATAAACAAATAATGAGTACATATTTTGTATGCATTGCTCAACCTAACTAAGCTCCCGTTTGATAACTATTAATTGAAAACTCCCTTTTTTTTATATATTCATTTTTTAACTACATATTCATACTATAAAGTATTTTGCACGTAAATCCAAAATTTTTTCATACGTTTTACCCACATATTCTTCTAAAAATCTCTATTTCAAAATATTATTTTTCTCAAATAATGGCCACAAAACAAGAATGCGTTTCAATCAAAAATTTTGGCACCGTTCTCTTTGCATCTTTCTTCCACCCTCTCGCTCTCTCCGTCGCGTCTCTCTTTGAGTCCCCGCATCTCCGTCGCGTCTCTCTCCCTTATTCCCGTTCTCACCGTCGCCTCTCTCTCTCTCTCTTTTCTTCCCCTTTCCTTTCTGTGAACGGTGGTTGTGTGCGATTTTGGGTGCGAATTTGGCAGTGGTTGGGTGTGATTTTTAGTGCAAATTTGGCTGTGGTTGGGGTGCGATTTTGGCTGTAGCGGTGGTTGAGTGCCATTTTTGCTGCGGCGATGGTTGGGTGCGACTCTTTTTCTCCCTTTTCTTTTTTATTTTGCTTCTGGTTCTGATCTATGATTGGAGGGGTGCTTGAGTCTTTCTGGAGGCGAGATGGAGAGATGTTTGGCTGTGACAGTGGTGGTGCAGTGGTGATCATGGGGAGGAGAGAAATCAACGAGATGAGATAACGAAGATACAGATTGTGGAAGGGAGGAGGAACAATAACTCCATTTCCCGTGTTTTCAATTTTGGCTTGATTTTGCTGGAAAACAGCCAAAACGCTGAAAAGCCGTTTCTGCGTTTTCAGTGTAAACTTTTTTTCATTTTTGAAAACGCATTTTCGGAAATAGGAAAGAGAACGCATTTTCACCATTTTGAAAAATTGAAAATAGAAAATGGCCCGAAAACAACAAAGAGAACGCCATCTTAAGAGCTTGGACTTACTCAGACTCAAATAGTAGGTGGATTTCATTCAAATTCAAATTCGACTCAATCAATAGATGGACAATAATCCTCATACGTTACCCACAACTAGCCTTGTCTTCCAGTATCGAAAAATTGAATTTTGAATTTATTTTTTGTTGAAAAATGGATTTCTATAAATTAAAGATGGTAATCAGTAGTAATTAAATTAAACTTCAAATGATTATAAGTTATGAATCATATTGAACGTGTGAATAATAACAAGTGATTAACTTTTATAATTCTTACAAAATTTATTTGATAATTTAAATTAAAATTTAGTTACTTCCCAAACATGCACTTAATGGCACCATGAATCATGTTAGGCTCCGTTTGGGAGTCATTCTTCTTCAAAGAATACATTTTATCTTTCCCAACAAGTGGGGTCTATGGAGAATGTGTGGTTGAAA